GATTCATGATCCTTGAGGTCCCTTCCAACCCTGGCAATTCTGTGATTCTGATTCTGAGACTGCACACTTTTATTTTGCTGAGCACCCACTAAAACACTTACAGTTTACCCTTTGTTCAGAACATGGATGTAATGACATAACGTTGCTATCTCCCTCTCTACCACAGATTCCTAGAAAAGCAACACTTTGGAAAGGACTAGGAGACAGAAATCAGAAAATAGATGCAAGGGCATCCTAGCTTAAAGAATTCTTATGTTCTGCACTTCAAATGAGGCAGTCCATTAATAAGTTTACCTCAGGTGACTCCAAAGCAATAGCCCCACAAGCATATTACCATCTGGCTGAGTTATACAGGCAGATCTACCAAGAAGAGGCACAGAACTATCATCACCCACATTAAAAGGCCACTTGGCATGTATGTCAGGAGCATTTAGCAGCAAGGTCACTGAATTAGTATGAGCCTTAAGAGCAACATCTGATACCAAAAATATTCTTGTCATGGCAGCCTCAACACAACTTACTACTTTAACAATTTTTTGCATGAAGAAAACAAGTCTTCTGGATGTCAGCTATCATCATATGAACAAGCTAAGGGACTGCCTGAAAAGTGTGAACATTCCACAGAAAGGAAATCCTTACTTTTACGTTATATTAAATTTAATTTAATAATAAATAATATGTAAATCTAATATAAATTTAATCCTCAGCTATAGATATATATTTCCAGGAAATATTTCCATCCTGCATACTTCAGCTATTTAACTAAGCTCTAGAAGGTAAGCAGGTGTTCCACAAAGATCAGTAGCCTCTGCTAAATACTGTTTGAAAGGCATCTGTATTGGTTTATATGAAGAAATCTGCAGAAAGAGCATGATGATTCATGGAGTTAGTACCATCTCTTCAAAATAAATGTTTTTTTCAGATTAAGAAGCTGTTTCCTCTCTGTGACCACTACTGAAAGGCAGTAAAGGCTTCATACAAGGGTTTATGCCAACATCTGCCTCCCTATCCCTACCAGCTGGGGGTAGGGAGGCAAGTCTCCAGAAGGACACTCAGAACCTTTCAGATGCTTATTCTAATATCCAATATCCCAAGAAACCAGCAGGCTTGTTCTGTTGACTAGACCTTCATCATTCACCTACATACAGAAACCAAGATCATCCTCCATGAACTTTAAAAGGGAAGCACAGGTAACTCTGAATAGGCTAAGCTGCCAACATAATATGACCCAGGAAACCAGAGTGAAAATTAGAAGTAGTAACGTCTGGTTATCTTCTGGGAAAACAGTTCTACAAGACTCGTTACACTTATTCTTGGTTGCTCTCAAACGTGAAGACTCACTTTTGGCAAGTCCACTACAGATCTCAGAATTAATTCCTAGAGCTGTCTTCTGAAAAAGCTGCCATAAGACAAAATATGTTGGGCACACTCCTGTAGATATGTGATTTAAACTTACACTATTTGATTAGGGATATGCTTCTCCGTCAAATACATAGGCACCTGATGACATGGTAAGCTGAAGAGCAGCAATCCACAACATACAGTTCCCATAAATACTTTTGACAAAGCCATCAAACCTCACTTGAGAACAGTTAAGTGTACTCAAGGAGATTCGTCAGACCAACCAGATGGAGCAGAATAACAGAGTCCGGAAAGCAGAAGACTCTACAGCATGAGGCACCTATTACTGACTTAAAAGCCTTTGCTGTAAAGGTGCCGAAAGTCTGAGAGGAACCAAAATGGCAGTTATCCTTCTGGCCACCCAATAAATACACCAAAACTAAAATGCAAAGGTGAGTACTGGCCTAAAATAAGGCACATACATTCACTGTGCAAGCAGAGTTCCTTCATCACAGTGTTTTAAAACTTTAGAGCTACAACAAGTGAAGGAATATTTTTTTAATGATTATTATTTGGAAACCTCTACCTGGCCACTGACATTCAGAACTTTGATTTTATCATATTTAAGATGCAATTCATTTGAGCTTTCTAATACGTTCCAATTGCTATACTGCAAGAGTAGATTTTAATCAAGGAACCAATTAATCCAAGAATTGACAAGCAAACAGAAAAGTGCTAATTAACAGGAGAAAAACAGCAGAATCATATACTAGCACTTATCAAACAGGATCATTTCCAATCTGTTGTCACCTTGCAACATTAAGTCATAACGAGATTAAACTCAGTCACAAGCAGCTTTACATAAAGCTGTTTTCTGTTTCACTCACCATGTGCAGTACTTCATTTTTTTTTTTCCATTCTCAGAAAGCCACAAGTAATCTTCCATTAACTGCACATTAGCACAGACTAGTGGCCATAATTTACCATTGCAATTAAGTATACTATACTCAAGAAATACTGTGACGCCAAGAAAAGAGGTCTAGTTTTTAAAGTTACTTCTAACAGCCCATAATCCCTCTGCTTTTGGAAATGCAGAGCTCTGTGATTTGGTCGCTTTCTGACGTGGCTCCCTCCCCATAACATACTCAACAACACTGAAGGTACTTTTTCATCCATGGAGCAGATTCACACAATAAGTAAAAACAGATTATAAAACATCAGAAATAAAAATGAAGAATCAACTTACAGGACATACTGAGAGATCAGTGGATTTCAACAAAACCGAAGTATTTAACTGTTAAGAACGTATTCTTCTACAATTTGAAAAGCTATGTATACTTGTCAGGCTGAGGCTAACATCAAAACTTTTAAAAGCATTTTGGGAATATAATTGTTCATTTACTCATTCTTTGCTTCAAGAAACATGAAACATTTACACCTTTCTGAACCACAAAGTACAGCAACAAATTACCTCAAAGAAAACGAGTCTTGCTATTCTAAAAACAGACAGTTTATAGTCTCTTAAACATCTACTGCTGGTCAATAGCCCTGGGACAACAGTTTTTCAAGTCAAGGCTGTATTCAAAGAAATGGAAACAGGGAAGGAAACTGGCACATTCTTGCTTGTTGTTTAAACAGCATCTGGAGGCATGCTAAGCAACTCACAATAAAGAGGAGTCATGTACAACACAACACATCTTATTCACAAGCATTTTATGAAAAATATGACAACCTGTGGAATTAGTTAAAAGGCATTATTTTATCTCTACATTTACGAATCAGTAGGGAGATTTAATCAACTGCTCTTTGGTAAGAAAATTATTAGTCAGCAGTCAACAGTTATTGTGGTAGCTTCCACTGTTTGCTCCTGAAAACTAAATTCCAATTAAGAAATGTTCTGAAGCCAACAAGCAAGTAGGTCACTTTTTCAGACTCCTGCTCTTCTGCACATATTACGAATTATTTCAGGGCCACACAATTTGAAGTGAAGACTAAGGTTGTCATTTAATTTGAGAAACTGGTTTTCCTGACTTCTGCAAATTCTGCAAATGAGAATCAAACTTTACGTTCTCCATGAAGAAGTGTTCATTACATACACTTACAGAATGCTGCACTATGCACAAAGAGTACAGCCTCTATTTAATAATACGGAACTCAAAGATGAATTTCACATACTCCTTAAAAAAAATGCCGTCTGGAAAACTGAGATCAATCTTGATGAGTAGCAATCTGACAAATGAATGAAAAATATTACTGATGTAGCATCTCAGAGTGAATTTAATGCATCTATAAAGTACTGAGTAAACTCAATCAAGCCAGCTTGCAGACAAAGTGGTACATTAAACAAGTCTCAGTTTCTGAGCCCACATGAGATTAATAGTATAAATGTTAAATGAAACTGTAAATTTTAGCAATATAATCATAATTCAAAATGAAATCAGTAGCTATGCCAAAACTGAATCAGCTGTGTATCACATTAAAGTTTTAACAAAGTGAATAAACTGCTTTGCTTGGAATACTCTGCCTAGAATTTAAAGAAGGTTCAGGAACAGTTTTTATTAATGTTAACAGACAGCTTCAATCCCTTTTCTGCTATTAGAAAAATAAAGAAAGACTGCCTCAAGCTTGTCAGTGCAGAGTAATTCACTGCAAGAAATTAGGCAGTCTGAAGTAAAGTATACAGACTTTGTAAGATAGTACTTGTTTAAAAAAAAAAAACTAAGAACTGATGAAAATATTCTTAATAAGCATCCACTCACCCCTTTTTTCCCAAAGAGGAAAGAAAAACGCAGTCTGAGGAAAAAATGAGTACAAAACACTGTCTCAAACTTCATTTTTCCTCTTGTGATGAGAAGCAGGTAACACAAGTATTTCTGTTATAAAGATCAAGTCTGAGTTTCTAGAAAAGTTAGTTAACCACTTTCAATAAAATATGGGAAAGAAAAACACCCAAAAGAAAGATGTCCTAAAGCACCAGAAATACATTGTGTTTTTTTGTTTTAAAAAAAATCAATTGCCACTGTCTTCTATGTAGTGCATATGAATTTACAGTATCACATCTAGTAAAAAATCTGAATGTAAGAACAGCATTTGTGATAGAGCTATGCAAAATTAGACACTTCCTACAGCAGTAACTGTAATTTTGAATGTCATTAAGAAATGTTCTCAATTTGACAACTTCTGACCAAGTTACAGAAACCTTTTCAGTATAGAAACCATAAGAACAGCATCAGCAAAACAAAACATCAGCAAAAAACAACGGTTTAGAAAGCACTGTGAAACTATGCCCAGTCCTCAGACACTGTCATGTATCAGATCAGCTAAGGAATGTCTACACTATGCTCATTCAAGGGTGGAGGGGATGATTGTGTCATTTTGGTTTTATTGTAATCTGGTCTTTTAAGCACTGATTGCCCCATAGCACTGGAGCATGGTTCTGACTGTTTTCCAAAAAGAATCCGGTTCGTGCATTCTGAGACCAGTGTGCAATGCAACACAAAGCATGGTAAGCAGGAACTAATGGGACATTTGCTTCAAAAGCACAGCATTATCTGACCTAAAAATGCTTATGTGGAAACACCCACTTTTCCTATTTATAGATAGCCAGACATTTGAACAAGATGATCAATGGAAGAATACAATGCATTTGGACACTGTTAATATGAATTTTAGACACTTCCCTACTTGTATGTGGGAGCATCTTTCTTCCATTATCCTATCCCATTCCACTTCAGCTTATCCATGTAACAGGATAAGGGCATTTAAGACAGAGTTAAGACCTGCTCTGACACAGAAGAATCAGAACAAGAAAAGGTCTGAAAAACTGATCTGATCAGCAGCAGATTAAGCATCCTAAGTAACATTCACTACAAGCAAAGATCCCTAGTACCTGGCTTCCAAAAATAAGTATTAATGCTGATCTGTTTAACATGATAATGAGTACTAATAAGAATTTGACAGAATAGAAATGTAAAAAGGAATCAGTAAAACTTGAGAAGGAAATTCTTCAAGAGAAAACTTCTCTACTGTCTCAAATGTCATATTTTCTACATCTATTTTCAATAAACACCTAAAATAAAAGCATTTTGAAGTTTTCATCTAGATCATCAGCTCTCCTTAAGCAAATAGGAGGTTTGATATCCTACAGCCATATTACATTATTTTTCAGTAAAGTATTTGACTAGTGCTAAGATGGAAGTCCCATATTTATTCCAAATGTTTACCACTTACAGCACCTCCTTACAAGTTTTCTCTGTAAAATTTGTTTTTTGATGTGTTGATGCTGCACAATACAGCACTGTCTCAGACACCTGAACAAAACTACAGTGCAGACATACTAATGAGAGTAATGACAAGTATATCATGGTGGAGACACAGCCATGCTGCCTCTAGCTGCAGCATTACTTGAATTTGGGTACCTCTACAAGAGGCTGCACAGTGTAACAGAGAAACTTTTTGTTCAAATGCAGAGCTAGAACAGTTGTTTTTTTTTTTTTTTTTTTAAACATACACCATCTTTAATAAGAGGTTCTTTTTATCAAACACAAACTCATATACTGAAGTTCCCTATCACTGTTCATTAAAACACTGTGTATTGAAGTTAAAGGAAACCTGAACTTCATTCACTATTTTTACTTCTGTAATTCATTTTATCGTGTTGTTGCATCTACAAAAATTAACACCTCAGAAAGCGCTTTACATTCTGGAATGCCTAAATCTATGCAACAATGTTGTCAGTACTACTGTGGCAGATTATGTCACATTACCTTAGAAACATTTCAAAGTGTTTTACTAAAGCCTTGAGATTCTTGTCAGGAAAGCACATCTTCCCCAGTATTTCTGGTAGCTTTACTGTAAATAAGAAAAATAATGTTTACATTTTTCTTAAAAAGCAATTTCTAGTTACGTTTATTCACAGTGTAGAACAGAATCTAAGAATCTATTTTCACTGCAGCCTCCAGTGCTTTGAAAGATGCTCAATCATCTTCCAAAATCTCACCATAACAAACATGCTCAGAAAGCAGATGTTGCTGGGTTTAACATTTGATAATACACTGGAAGCAGCACTTCTTTACCTTTTTGTTTTTTGTTAAATGAATGCTTGCAGGGAGTAAAAGAAAACAAATAATAACACCTTAAGGGTTTTAAACAGATTAAAATTTACATTTCTTCAAAAACAGAACTGAGATTAACACCAAATAAACCAACACAGCCACTGCCAACAAAAACAAAAGAAAAAGCAGTTATGATTCCACAGAAGGTTACCAAACATGCGTAACAAATGTTGAGATCCATAGATGTATGATGGAGGTGGTGGTTGATCACTTGGTGGATAGTTCTCTGGCATCAGTTTCCATGACAAAACCTGAACATAAAACATGTGAATAAATGTTAGTTATAAGATCATTATCGCATCCTAATGAGTTTGGTCTTTACAGAACTCCAAAACCTGAGAAAAGATAAGTAACTCATCTAAACAACACCTTTTCTCATGCAGTCCTACTCTGAGGCCCACTATAACTTCAAACATTTAATCTAAGACAATAATGAAGACCTCTTACCTCATTCAATTCATTGTTCCTTCTACCTTCAAAGCCAGTAAAAACTGCACTCCCCTCTTTGCTAGGAGTCAGAGTTATAGGTGAAGATGATCCACTATGAACAGGGGTTTCTTCAAAAAAAAACCAACAAATATATATATAACAATCTGTTTTGTGGAACAATACTGATAAAATATGTAAAGCACTAAAACATCAAAATTCAGAAAATGCTTCTCATTCAGTTCACAGCTCACATGACATTAAAAAGGAACAAGATTTATTCTTGTTTGGAGTAACAACCATAACAATAAAACCTACTTTTCTCCAGGTGCAAGAAGAGCTTTGGCATAGAAGTTGGGGTCTCAAGATGCCGCCGCTTAGGTTGTGGGGAAGCACTACTTTCAGACAACCTGTCACAGTTCGAGGTATGCCGCGTAGAACGTCGCAGTGATTGCAGAATTTCAGGTTCAGCCTTCCTCCTTTTTGGTGTGGCTGGCTCTGCCGTTGCAGGTTGGCTGTCTGTTGACTGAGGCGTTGGTGGATTGAGCAGAGGTGGGCTTGGGGAAAGCTCCTCCTGATTTCTAGGAAACAAGCACAACTTCACAGAGCTGAAAAGATCAGGTGGTCTTTCCTTGAAACTGTAAGTCTCACAATTATTTGAATTACACAGCCTACTTTCAAGAATGAGCAAAGTAACGAGAGCTTATTTTAAATAAGTTTCAGTTTCCTGAAGCATATTTATTTTAAAGGTTAATGATCATAAATTAAAATTACATCAAGATGTAATTTCGTGAAGTTGCAGCATAAATCCAGTCAGTACAACCCTTTTTTTTTTTGGCATTAACTAGATAGAAATTCACAAATTGTATTCTGAATTCAGGCAAGTAATTCAGAAAGCAGTTAAACAATTTATCAAGAAGACTGTTTTTAAGCCAAAGCATATGAGAAATCATGGCATTCTTAATGCATAACCACTTTCTATTGCATTTTTCTCATGAGATAAGCAGTACTACGCTCTTTATAACCAATGTACCTGTTAGTATTTGTTGAGTTCTCCTTGATAGGAAGAAAGAATTTTGATGAAGTCACCTTCTTAAATTGAGCTTGCTCATAAGGATATAGCAAAATTAATGGAAGTGTAAAGTCAAAGGTTATTCTCAGCCCATCCACCATCTCCTTACACAGCTCAACACTACAGAGAAAAAAGAAAGAAGAATTTCAAAAGACACACATCAAAATATTCTGTTCTGTAAAGGGAAATTCCTACATCTTAACTATGATATACTGATTTCATCCCTTCCCTTTGTAATAAGCAATTAAAAACATACCAAGTTTATTGTATTTAATAGGAGTCATCTGTCAGGAAAATATAAGTAAGTATTTAATAGACTGAATCCTTGCCTAGAAGCCATATGCAGAATTTGAACTACAGCAGCTAAGATGCAGTTAAGGCTGTGCTTAAGAGATCTCCAGTAAATCAAGAAAAAATGATGTATTTGCATTAGAGCAGATCAGCTTCCAGGGGTCTGCTCCTAGTAACCAAACTACAACATTTAGAGGCTACAAGGAATTTCTGATGTAGGTTTCTGTAAAATAGTCATGGTGTCAGTCAGGTGATGGGCAGATACAGTGTTACAACAACATGAACTCAAGTATCCTGGCTACTTACAGCACCTCTCATATCTGTGCTTCATCTTGAAGGATGAAGATAACCACTTCCCAGTTTTCAAGTACATATATATGTATGTGGCACAATCAAATAATGTTACCAATGATATCCACATTAGAAATTCTCTATCTCCCATTAAATATGCTTAAACTAAAAAAAAAAAAAAAAAAACAACACACAACACACCAAACCACTATCTGTAAGTTGGGTCAGGGCAGCAACACGTGCAGAAATTCACCACATTTAAAAAGGTCAGTCATCTTCTGTGCAGTAAGGAATGTACAACAGCATTATCAGCTCAAGCTCATCTACTAAATGGCTCACTGAAATTTTGAAATCATGACCTACTAAAGCACATTATTAAGTCACATAAATATACACCTTTAAAAATCAAAACATAAACACCACCTTTCTTTCATATTCCTCCTGTCTCATTTAACTTGTTTGGGAGATTATTTTACAAAGAAAGTATAAACTAATCTGTCATGTAATGAATGACATCAACAAAGTGAAGCACTCATGTAGACCAAGATATTCCAGGAAACAGCACTGTTATGCAGTGCTGAAAAAAATATCTTGACTTTCATTATGTTCTATGTTTGATAAAATACAAAATTTCACATCAGTGTAAACTTAAAGGAGCAGCCTCACTTAATACTGAAAATCTTTATGAAAGAAAACTGCAAATACGCAAACTTAACAGGAAGAAGATGACACAGCTCAGTTGAGAATAACATACAAAGATGTAATCAATTTTAATAAGCAGGATTGGTGTGACTGTAAACATTCAGTTTTCCTGCATTTTTGACTCTAAAATTTAAGAGTACATGTCATTAAAAGAAATAATCTGCACTTGGAGTGCTATTAGAAATGCTTGCATATAATGTTTAACCTTTATAAAATCGTAATATCATTACAATATAAACCTTAGGACAGATTGTTCAGCCGTAAGACAGAGCAGAAAATGCAAGCTAGTTCTTCTTGTGGCTGTATGCTAAAGCTTACTTACTTCTTCTCTGGTGGCACATAATGAAGATTCATATTAGCATGTGGAGTCACCTGATGGTGCCGAGACCTTTCGTTGGCTGAAAATGCAGCATTAATAGCAAAATGTTTCACATATGACTCCAGGATGGTTATTATATTTGTCTGGCAAGGAAGCTTCACTAGCTGAAAAAGAAACAACAAACTGACATCTTACAAAAATAATTAGTAAATATAACTATCTAAAGCAGGAGCTAATGAAATTACGAGGTTTTTAAAGTCTCTACTGCATAAAGTTACTTCAGGAGTGATTAATTTTAATCTCTAAAACTATGTTTTCAATCGTTCGTAAATATTTAGAAAAAATAGTCAGGTGAACTAGAGTAACTACATTTTCAGCTTTAAAGAACTTGCACTCTTGAAACAAGCCAAGTACAGAAGAGTCAAGCCCTTAAATAGAATGATAACTCACTGTTTTAGCTATACAGAGGTCTGCTCCCTGCACTCTTTTTGTTCTTCCTTATGCTAAGCTTTACTTTGCAACAGTGCTCAAAAAAGGGGTTGCCATATATAAGCATTTTTGACCCCTACATCACACGTATTAACTTCATTGCTTTTATTTCATACCCGTTTTCTTCTATTAATATAGTAACAGTCTTCTTCAAGCTTCTTTTTCAAGACTTCAGGAATTTCTATGTTTATTGCTCTTTCTTCCATCTCCCTTTTTGAATGAGTGTCTTGATCTTCTTTCTACAAGAGGCCAGTGTAAAAAACAATACAGTGTTTGTGCTTATTAATATCAGTGAAAAAGAACTTCAACACATTCTCTGACATTCAGTGAAGTTTTGACACACAACAGTAAAATTGCATTACTTATATAATAAATAAGTTTATAGTAGCTGTACTGTAAGTAATAACACCACTTTCATATAATCTGCAAATTCAGTTCAATTTAGCATTCACTTAAGTATTTAACACAAAGGAATAAGCAGATTGGTTATGCTCTGCTGCTTCAGATCACCTACGTTATACTGGTTGGATATCACAGGCCTTCAGAACAACTACTTATGCTGAACTCTGCTTTTGCTAAAGCAGAGATTAGAGATGTTTTTTCTCAAAGTTTGCCTTCTATATTTTAAAGGCCAGCACTGACAGACTCATTTCACAGCAAAATACAAAAGCTACCAAGATGCTACTGCTGCGTCCAACCTGAGTAGACCAGTAAGATTTTACAACTCCACAAAAGCAGAGTTGTTTTCTCCACACAAACCCTGTGTGTCACAAGGGAGAAAAAAGAAGCAAATGTGTACTTAGAGATTCTATCAAAATTCTACAATATGACATCATATGTAACTTTCAAAAACTCAACCACAGCAGACAATTTACATTTAAATTACAGTTTAGTTTTACATTTAATTTACAGTTAAATCACAGAATCATAGAATGGTTTGTGTTGAAAGGGACCTTTAAGATCACCTAGTTCCAAACCCTCAGCTATAGGCAGGGACACCTCCCACTGTACCAGGCTGTTCAAAGCCCCATCCAGCCAGGCCTTGAACACCTAAAGGGAGAAGGTATATGTAGCCTCAATAGGCAACCTGTTCCAGTGTCTCATCCTATTCACAGTAAAGAATTTCTTCTTAATATCTAATACACTCCTTTAAAACCATCTCCCCTCATCCTGCCACTACATGCTCTTATAGAGCTCTCTATAAACTCTCCTAGTTTTCCTGTAGGCCTAATTCAAGTACTGGAAGGCCGCTGCAAGGTCCTCCCAGAGCATTCTCTATGCTGAAGAACCCCAACTCTCTCAGCCTGTCCTCATAGGGTGTGTGCTCCTCTGATCATCTCTCTTTGGCCTTCCTCTGGACCTGTTCCAGCAGCTTTGCATCCCTCTTGTGTTAGGGGCTCCAGAACTGGACACAATACTCCAAGTGGAATCTCACAAGAGCACAGTAGAGGGGCAGAATCACCTCCTTTGGCCTGCTGGTCATGCTTCTCTTGATGCAACCCAGGATACAGTCAGCCTTTTGGGCTGCAAGTGCACACTGCTGACTCATATTGTGTCTTCCATCAACTGACACCCACAAATCCTTCTCCTAAGGGCTGTTCTCAAGCCACCCAACCTGTATCTTTGTTTGGGATTGCCCTGATACAGACGCAGAACCTTTGCACTTTGCCTTGTTGAACTTCATGAGGTTGGCATAGGCCCACCTCTCAAGCTTGTGCAGGACCCTCTGGATAGCATCCCTTCCCTCTAGCATGTCAACTGCACCATTCAGCTCGGTGTCACCCGCAAACACGCTGAGGTCTACACTTGATTCCACTGTCCATGTTGCCTGCAAAGATGTTAAATAACACTGGTCCCAGCACTGATTCCTGAGGAACACCACTCATCACTGGTCTCTACTTGGACACTGAGCCATTTACTGCAACTCTATGAGTGTAACCATCCAGCTAATGGATATCCAGCAAGTGATCAACCCTTCAAATCCATTTTTCTCCAATTTAGTTTGACCCTGTCAAGCACCTCACAAAAATTCAGGTAGATGACACCAATTGATCTTCTTCTATCCACACATGCTGTAACTGCAGCACAAAACACCACCAAGTTTGTCAGGCATGACTTGCCTTTAGTGAAGCCATGCTGGTTACCACCAATCACCTCATCTTTATTTTCCACATGGTTAGTAGGGCCTACAGAAAGAATCCACTCCATACCTCCAGGCAGAGGTGAGACTGACTGGCCTGTAGTTCCCCGGATCTTTTTTTCCCCTCTTTGAAAATGGGGATTATGTTTGCCCAACTCAAATCAGTGAGAACTTCACCAGACTGCTATGACCTTCCAAATTTAATGGATAGTGACTTGACAACTTCAGCCACCAGTTCCTTCAGAAGCCATGGATGGATCTCATCGAGTCTTGTGCACTTTCAGGTTCTTCAGATGGTCTCAAATCTGATTTTCACTTACAGCAGGTAGATCTTCCCTCACCAAGTTCTTGTTTGCTTTCTGCAGCCTGGGCAGTGTAACTCTTCACCTTACCAGTGAAGACCAATGCTAAGAAGCTATCCTCTGTGACCAGGTCTCCAATTTCCTTCCTGAATGGGGCCACATCTTCCCTGGCCTTCCTTTAGTCATTGATATAACTGTCTCCTTGTTCCCCTTTATGTCCCTGGCTAAATTTAATTCTATCTGGGTTTTAGCTTTCCTAACCTACATAAGCCACCAACTGTGACATATATATCCTTCATTGCAATTTCTCCAGCATTTTAAATACTGATTTTTAAATTAAAGACAAGGAGACAAATTTACCATTTCTGTCCTTTCTTCTATATCACTTTCTTCACTTTTTATTTCTTCATCTGTTCCTTCATCACTGTCATCAGAAGAACTACTTACAGCTGTGTAAAACAGATTTCAGATATTTTTTTACATTATTACATTGCATAGGCCTAAATTATATTTATAACAAGTTGCTATTTTTATGTTATTAGAACTGTTCATTCTTATTAAGCACACAAGTGGTATTTACAGCATACAGTAAGCTTCATGAAAATGGAAGACAAGAAGTTTACAGAAGTACTCCTACATTCTTTCTAAATGAAACACACAGTTCAAAAAGTCTCTTTATATTGCTGTATACACACAAATATTTTCAGTTTTTTAATTGAACTTCAGTTCTGAATATGGGATTAATGTATTAATTATTCAATCAGGAGACTGCCAGAACATCAATAAAGTGCCAATGCTCTTCCTGGTTTCCAGGTTACAAAGAAAAGTGAATTGAAAGAGCTGGCTTAAGAGTGAAATCAAATTAGTCAAATTAGGAAAAAAAAAAGATCTTATTACCATCTCCATCTTCCCACAAATAGACAGGAACATTAGCAAGTAAAGCATCTAACTTCTTAACACCACAGAAGGAAAACTAGGGACTTTTTACACATAGTAAACAAAATAGTAAATACTAAACAAAACTGCATTAAACTCTGATATCACTGACTGGAAGAATTGACAGAAGAAAAAATCTCTGGAACACAAGAAGAAACATGGTACCCTAGCCTAAGAGATGCTTTACATAAAACACTGCACTCACTCTTAATACGACTGCCTCAGTATAATTCCATGACACTCGTGTCATCCTAAAAGCAAGTAGAAGTGCTCACTGTACCCCTAGCTCAAAGTTAAAGGCATTATGCTAGTTACTAAAGAATGAAAACAAACTCACTTTTTTCGCTATTATGATCATTTTCCTCAGCAGGAAGGCTTTTTAAAACAGAGTCAACACCAGGCAACCTGCAACGTCTCTTCTTTCTTCCTTTTCTTCTCCTATAAAGCATAAAACAGTTCACTTAAACTTGGCCAATCTCATTTAACATGTTTCTCTTAGCTAACATCATTACATGAAAACACACAGGATGTATGTTTGGGTTATTTTCATGAATTAACACTGAAATAATTCAGGCAATGCTCATTTTACAGTAGATGCCTTCACTACCTTATATTTGTCTTCTCAAGCAGATCCTCAAGCCACATTTAATTGATGTTAAAATATTGCTTCTGACTCAAAAATACTTCAGGCCACTCTAAGTTGTTTTTCAAGTACATTTCTTTGAGAAAATGTAGTCCCAATAAAAAGGCATCTCACAGCAATAGTTAATAATAACATATAGTTATTAGATGTAGACAATGCTTAAACAACATTAAAACACCGAGCAACACTTAAACCTACATGTTTGGTAACAACATGTAGCTATGCACCTTCGAATGAAAGAGAAGCTCCAAGAACTTGCTGACTGTACTGAACAGGCATGAACCACCTACAGCATGAGCTTAGAGATCAAACTCACATGCACCTGCAACAGCGGCTGTTTGAATGTGGAAAAGAACCTCTTCTTCATGTTGAAACCAGAAGTATTACTTACATGCGAGCCACAGCCTTCCGTGCCAATTTACGCTGTAATCTGCGATTTTCGTCAGTATCACGAAGGACATGATCTTCAGCTGCCCATCTATCCCAGCTAAGGAGTGGTCAAAAGAAAATTATTAATGGCTTAAATATATTCTATTCATGATCGTTGGCAAATTAATACATGTTAAATGTAAGAAGTACTATCTTAACATCATTCAGAAGCAACACTGAGTTGCATTCTTCAGAATTCACATGGCTTCCACACTAACACTGCTATGTCAAGGCTTGAGAGCTTCTAGGCATTATATGGTAGAGTCTGTAGCACCAATACATGCTACATACCATGGTCAGAGACTGCACTCATTTAACCAGAATAGGCAAACTACTTAGGCCTAGGTCTAATGAAGAACAAAAATCTTTTTATTACTGGAAACCTAAGAGCCACAGTATACACTGTATATACAGTATACAGATATCCCAAGTTTAAACTGATGGTTATCAAACAGATCCACTGATATTTAAAGATAGAAACCAATCAGTCAATACGTTCAAATATATTAAAAGCATTCACAGATTAAACATACTCATACAAACAGTAGATCTTGGACATTCTACAAAACATTCTTATCTGCCAAAAAAAAAAAAAAAAGGAAGTAATGAAAGAACAAAAATTAGGTATACAGCTTCTTACCTTCTATTCCAACCGTTAAAATGGATTAGATATTCTGGAATTTTTCTGCCTTTCTCATCTTTACCAACAATAATATCAACAATCTGAAAAGCAAACAGCACATATTACAACACTTGAAAGAAAGTGAACTTCTGAATATTTATGGAATTTATACATACAGAAAAAATATGTTCAAGACATCTAGAGTTTTATCATTGACTGTTTATATGAGAAAAATATATAAATTATACCAATGGTGAGCAAAAGTTGCTTTTTTCATCAGGCACTTCTGAAGTGCTGCTAGCCATCTTTATCCTGCCCTCAGGACAGGGCGCTTTCAAGACAATGTGATATTGTGTTGCTCTACAGCAATTTGAATGTGTAGATAGACTATACCTCTTCAGGAAGCAACAGTACTATATATAAACCTCAGAAACACTGTTCTCTTGAGCACATAATCTAGCTCTGAAATACAAAAATGTCTTGTATGTGAGCTTTTGTTTCTCTCCCCTTTGCTTAGGTAAAATGACAGAGTCATAAAATGGCTTGGGTTGGAAAGAACCTTAAAGACCACCTAGTTTCAGCTCCAAAAATCATCCTCTCAGGCACCCACAGTTTTATTTTGACCAAGTCAGATCAAAGTGGAAACAAAAATCATTATTTACACTAGAGGCATTTTCTGAACAGTTGTTTGGAGAGGAGGCTTTCTTCATCTTTCTCTCATTAGCAAGACACACAGATGCACTGCATTACACGCTCTTGATTTTGTTCTGTTTTTTTTTTTTTAATCTGCTTTCTTCTCAGAAAACAGAGAGTCAGTACTTACAGAAAAAAAAAAAGTACAAACAGCCAGTCAAAACAGAAAGATATTTCACAATGGATTATTAAGAAGATCAACAGGACCACTAAAAACAAAGGAATCATCCCACCCTCACGTGAATGGGCACACCACATACTTCAGGGTGCAGCCAGCAGACAGGCCACGAGAATGTTTAATTTTGGAGCCTAGAATGTAAGGATCTGTTGAACCAAGGAGAGCTTTGCTGGAGTTCAGGGTATTTGAAAGTAAAGATGAAGGTGCTATTAGATTTCCGCTCTGAAGTTGCCTATAAGGCCTGCAGTGACGGCTGTTCGGATGGCTAGAACATAACATTTAAGTTCTTTACTATGAGAGTGGTGAGGTGCTGGAACAGGCTGCCCAGGGAGGTTGTGGATGCCCCATCCCTGGAGGTGTTCAAGGTCAGATTGGATGGGGCCCTGGGCAGCCTGGTCTAGCATTAAATGGGGAGGTTGGTGGCCCTGCATGTGGTGAGGGGGGTTGGAGATTCATGATCCTTGAGGTCCCTTCCAACCCTGGCCATTCTGTGTTAACAATATGTGGAGAAACACGAGGACAGCTCAAATTCCTGTGGAAAGACGTTTGGAAAACACTGACCGACACCACTAGTGAATTCCCAGCACTGAAGTACCATCTGGTCAAGAACCCAGCCATAACACTCCTTTTTGCCCCTCAGTGAACAAGCAAAAACAGCAAACAACCCCCCACCACACACAGCGGAACCATTTACAGGTTCAGAACAGATCACTTCAGACTGAAAAATCAGCTCGTGCCGCACCAGCGCTCCCAGAAGCACCGGACCTACACAAAGCCCCACAGAGCCGGCAGCTGCACAAGGGGCCAGGCCCGCAACGCAGTCACCTGACGGACCGCCACTGCAGATCGCCGCCCACTGCTTACGACGCTATTTCTGCGCGCGCTGCCGCCGCGCTCACACCCTTCTCAGGGGGGAGGCAGGGAGTAAGGAAGCTGACGAGCTACGCTGGAGACAGAAGAAAGAAAACAAACGGGGCTGCTCAGCAGCGTCCAGCCGTGGCCGGATAGCGGGGTGGCACTGCTAGAGCCGCACGGAGGAGCGGCGCCCGTTCGCCGCCTGAACAGAAAGAACGCGAGGCCCCGGCTCCGCCCGCCTCCGTTAGCGGCCAGGCCGAAAGAGCGGCTTGGGGGCTCGGCCGCCGGTCCGGACCCGTCCTCTCCCGCCGTCCGATCCCCGCGCCCAGAGGCGTCGGCCGGGCCGCCCCTGCTGCCCTCGGCCGTCTCCGAGGCCGCGTCCCCCTCCCGCCCTTCTCCCGCCCCCCCTCCGCGCGCGCACCCGGAAGCGGAGCGGCGGGAGCGCGCGGCGCACCGACGAAGGAGCGTTAAGGGCGGCCCCGCCTCTCCGCGGTCCGGGGCTGAGGGGCAGGGCGTGAGCGCGGCCGGTCACCTTGGCATCATAGAGCACTTTGGCTTTGGTGGGGTCGGGCTCGAAGCAGAGAACTCTCTCCCCCCGGTGGAACTTAAATTTCATTCCCCGCGAGGTCATTTGTTCATCATGGCGCAAAGGAGAGCGTCCCGCCCCGCCCGTCGGGGAGGTGCTGCCGCCGGCCCCGCCCTCTCCGGCTCCTCGGGAGGAGGCGGCGGGGTGACGGGCTGCCGGAGCGGGGCAGGGAGGGGGCTGCGGTGAGCGCCCTGGGTCTGCTGTCAAACCGGGAGCCGTCCTCCGCCGCCAAGATGGACGTTTCGGCACCTTCAGGGGTAGTGAGTGACTCCCTAGGCGGCATGTTTCCAGCACCTCCCGCTCTTTCTGAGAAGAAATTCTTCCTGATGGCCAACCTGAGCTTTCTCTGGTGCAACTTGAGGGCGTTCCCTCTCGTCTGGCCTTGCTGCTTGGTGTTAGTGGGAAAAGGGGTTGAAGTTAACCTTTCTGAGTAAAGAGACTGACAGGTGTGCTTCGTGTGAGGAAGGGAACTGCCAGTGTGTTACCAGGTTTCTAACAGAAAGAGGTGAGAAAGGAAATCCAGAGAACGGTGTTCTGAGAAAGTGGCTGCTCCCTTATCTTGTTGATAAGATAGAGAGAAGTGCAACAAGAAAAATATTCTTGGAGCTGTATAGGAGCCTGCTGCTGCTCAAGTTAAAAAGCAGGCTCCAAAAATCATAGGATCATATAATGGTTTGGGTTGGAAGGGACCTTTAAGATCACCTACTTTCAACCCCCTGCTACAGGCAGGGACACCTCTCTATAGACTGTTGCTCTAAGCCCCATCCAGCCTGGCCTCGAATGCCTTCAGGGAGGGGACATTCACACCCTCACTGGGCGGCCTGTTCCATAATGTAGATGTGATGTTGACTGCAGAAAGTACTGTTGAAGTTCCTTTATTTTATTTTTTTTTAAAGGTGTTGTGCAGCTATGGTGTTCAAGGCCAGATTGGATGGGGCCCTGGGCAGCCTGGTCTAGCTTTAAATGGGGAGGTTGGTGGCCCTGCATGTGGCAGGGGGGGTTGGAGATTCATGATCCTTGAGGTTCTTTCCAACCCTGACCATTCTGTGATTCTGTGATTCTCTGGAATAACAGCTGCTGTCCAGGAGTTACCATGCTTAAAGAAGAAACAACAGCAGAGGAAACTGAACAACAAACTTCTGTTTGTATCCTGACCTCTGACCTGGTATGCCATTGACAGTAGTTATATTAGGCAATCCTTAAATCATTTCTGCCCAAGACAGCCCTATGTTTTGTCCTGCTGTCTCCTTCCTCCTCACTGCTCTGTATTTCCAGATACTGCTTCTCATTGATCTCACCTCAGCCTCTCTTTATTCACCATAGCCCCACTCAGGCTGCTTTTCTTTTTGTCTCACGTTTCTTGTTCATGTTTCCTCTTGAGATAAGGAGCATCTGCTTTTATCTCCCTTATCCACCTGGCTGCACATAACCCTTGTCAGCACGTCCCCCACTTTGCCAGATCTTGCTCCAGTACTACTGGAAGTTTGGACATAGGATGCACTTAACAAAAATCCATCCAGAGGGAGCTCTGAGAGCACAGAGGTGGGCACATTGAAGAAACATTGGCTCTGTGATAGCATTATGCAAAAAATGCCTAGGTCTACCAGGACATTAAATACAAGTTATCAACTTTCAAAGGTACCAGTTGCTCTAAAGGGTTGATGGCCAAATGGCTGTGCAAAACCAACAGAAAAAAAGCACTTGGAAAATGGGTGTTGTACACATGCATATACGTACTGCATGTGCAGCATTTGTGAAGAGTTGTAGTTGTCATGTGTAGCATATAAACAAAAGGCCCAGTGCAAGATATATCAGGTCTAGCAAAGCTTGAAACAGAGCTCTTCACTTGCATCCATCCTTTACAAGTGTGTACATATACATCTACGTATATGTATATATATATATGTAAATGGCTGTGGTGCTTCATCAGGTTTAGTTTCTTTGGGGTCAAGGTCCAAAATGCTGAGGAAAGGGACATGATTTCTGAGCTTGCTGAGGACTGCCAGTAGAGCAGTACTTGCTTAACATCTCCAAGCCACGGGATGAGCTGACCCAATGCATATTTTGATGAGATTCCCAGGACACTATATAGCTTGCAGGGAAGAAATATGATTTAAGAACTCCTCTGGGAGACAAAGTGGCCTGAGAGAGGAAACCCACAAGACACCCTGCCGTCAAGACACCCTGCCAAAGGGCACCCAATGGATCATGAGGGCTAAGGGTTTCATGAGGAAACATTTCAGCTGCCTTACATACTGCAGCTCTGAAGATGTATTACAGGCAGCCCTGTGGTCACAGTTTTTATTTTAACAACAACCAGTGCTTTTTATTCTACGGTACTGAAGAGGGCTCCCAGCCTTGCTGCCATCACACAGCATGGCAGTGGACTCAGGGCATTCAGGGAGCTGTAGTCCAACCATGGAGGCCAGGTTGCTCCCTCACACCAGAGGGATAAAATATTCAAGCATGTTTGTTCAGATATCAAAGAATTTTCAGATGCTGCTGTTGAAGCTGACTATTAATGATATCATGAAGGTCTTGTATGTGTAGAACACAAATTGCAAAAGTGAATTTCTAGAAGGAATGATAGAGGCACACACACTTTGCTTACAGTTAGTAGTAAATTTGCAGTAGTAGGTTGGTCTAAATCACTTTAAACTGTAGGATATAGCTGTTTCTAAAAGAAACAGAAAAGGACTAACTTTCAAACACTGGCAGGTCACTAAGCAAAGTACACAAATTTGCAAGACACACATTGGCTCTGAAGGATTTGCTACTTATTTCATCAATGTTTTCTTCTTGTCTGGATGAAAGAATACTCCATAAAACATGACTGAGACCACTGATGAATATGATTACATCTTGAAAAAAGTTCAGGGGGAGCTTTTCCAGCAATATCCTGGCAGAAAGTGTGCCTAAAGCAGTGACCATGGACACAGTTTCTGATGTTTTTGAGATTTTATGTGTAATTGATAAACAGTTTTGCCTTCAAGGAGAACCAGTTCCATTAACAACTTCTCCTTCAGTGAGCAAACTGCATTTTCCTAGATATCAAATGACTGCTTGGATCATGCTTAGCAGAAGTCTGTTACATACAGATATTATTTTATTTTTTAATCTTGTAATATCATGAAGATACACTCAATTAGTTTAACAAGATGCACATTGTTGTAACAGTTGTTTCAATCTCCTTGAGCTTCGTTATTTCATGTGGGATTATGTAGGTTGGTGGATGTGTAGGTACATGGGTCATCCAGTTGCTCCAGTGCTTAGCCTTTAAACACTGAATGGGGAGACACACCAGTCAAGGTAGCAAATGTCAGTGGTGTACCCAGCAGTGTTTGCATGTATTCCAGCATCCTCAGTGTTAGTACTCTTCTTGTAAATGTTGGTGGAACATCAACTCCAATATACTTAATCAATCAACATTTTTAATCCCTCTGTGAGTTTTTCTTTAAGATTCCTCCTCTATTCCTTCAGGCTAGGAAATGCCAAGCAGAATTTTTTTGGCACTCTGAGAGTATGTTGTCTTCGTGAGTATCTCATTGTATTGCTTAGATTGAAATCCCTAAAGATTATGTAATTTTTTTCCTGTACCTTCTTTTAGCAGTGGTCATCTGCATAAGCCATGTTGTGTGCTTTGTTTGTTAGAAAGCAAATAAATCTTGCTGAATTGTGATGCATGGAAAATATGAGATCTGCACTTCAATGAAATAATAGGCCAGGCATGCTCCTTGAAGTTAATAAAAATTCTCTTAAACACCAACATAATACTATCCTACATTTTTTGAGGTAATCCTCAAAAAGCTCAAGTGGTAAATGTTTAAGGAAAGAAACACGTTTATCCAGTATCTTTACAAACTAATTGTTTCATTTTATTAAGGCAAGCCCTGTTCTTTTCAAACCTCCTAAGTTAAGCTCTGGCACTTAGGCTCATTTCTGCTGTTTACATTGGCTTCATAAACCTTCAGCCAGAGAAAAAGAAGGAAGGTTTCTTCCCATGAAACAGCTCAAGAGAGGCATCGCTTAAATGAGTGTACTTCCTGCTACAACCTAATTAAATTGAGAGATCTTAAAAAACCACCATACACACAAATATCCCACCTGATTTACTGTGACGCTACAGGCATCTCTGGCAAACATAGAGCTTGGCTTCCATAAACTACAAATGGTGAGGTGATTGGTAACTGTGGGGGATGTTCCTCCTAATGTTCGTGTTTGGGTATCTGTTTCTAACTGAGAAGTTTCAGGCAAAGTAGTTGGTTGCTTCTAGGACAGGGCTAACATCTGTTGCATGATGCGCCTTGGGGAGTGTGAGGGTGGCAAAAGGAGAGAACACTAGGCAAGGGAGAGGGAAAGGAGGGAGGCTGATGAGGCCTTTGCCTTGTTCGTAATATCTCTGAAATGGGCTTCAGCATGTCCCTTCTCCTGATCTGGATACTGTCTGGGACTGGTTGACATGAGCCAAAGCTTACAGTTAAGCATAATGAGCAATTAGCAGCTCGGTGCTTAAGCTTCTTTCCAGGCCATGTTTTTTTCTAGTGTTGTAGACATAGCCTTAGAGACCTTTGAGCAAAAAAAAAAAAACATTACGCTGTACATGATCGGTGGAGACTTGTTTAATTTCAGAAGGTCCCAGACCAGGGTTCCCTAAAGCAGCTTAAGAAAGTTCTGCTTCTGGTTCCTTTCTCCTCCACCGCAGTCAGCTGTCCTGGCACTACTGTGTGCAGCAGGGAGGCTGATCTGAAGAATCAGGATGGATTGAGATCTTATAGCTGTACAAGAACTGGGCTTGGGATGAAATGCAAACAGTATGTAATGAGAAATATTCTCTAAAAAGAAAAAAAAGGAAAAAAAGAAAAAAAAGAAACTCCAGGTGAACATCCCAATTACACATTATGTCAGTATTTTTTGTCTTGATTTCTGGCTTGTAAAATCACAGATTTACAGAACCATAGTGGTTGGAAGGGAACTCTGGAGATTATGTGGTCCCAACCTCTGCTAAAGCAGGTTCCCTGCAGCAGGTCACCCAAGTGGGTCTTGAATATCTCTACACAGAGAGACTCCACAGCCTCTTTGGGCTGTCTGTTCCAGGGCTCTGTCGCTCTGACAATGAAGAAGTAGTTCTTTGCATTAGCATTGAACTTCCTGTGTTCGCTCTCTCCCTGTTCATTGTTCTGCTGTTGCTTGCCAAAAGTAAAAGGGTGATTATATTTCAAAGTCAGCAGTTCTTTGTTCAGAACAGGTTCAAAACGTGCAAAAAAGGATGCATGTTTGACAAAGCACAGAAAAGCGAATGTAACAAATGCACTACTTCAAAGTTTTTCAGTCAGCTGAGCACACTTGTTCTGAGAAAAACGTGACCACAGTGGGGTCAATGAAGCTACAGATTTTAAGGGAAAAAGAGAGTACAAAATATTCATAATCAGACGAAATTCAGTGGCTATTCATTGAGGCTTTACAAATGTGCAACCCCACCCACAATAAGGAACGTATGAACATTTAGCTGATTTCTTGCACTACTTTGCATTGCTATAGAGAACAAAGACTACAAAGGAAGAAGAAATAAGGTATTTATACATACCAGATACCATAAAGATTAATTGTCTGTAGTATCAAATGCTGTCTGTCTGGGTATTAGTATTGTGCATATTTTAGTTTGGGAAAAA